GTTGGGCCGACTGGTCGGGCGATGACTCCTTCACGGAGAGCTCGCGGTAGATCTCGTCGGCCGTGTCGCCCGTCACGACGGCCGTGAAGTACTCGGCAAACTCCTGCTCGAGCTTGAGCGCGCGCTCCACGTACATGCTACGCGGCCGCGGCGACCTGCTCCTCGTTCGTGCGCTTCAGCATCTCCGGCGAGCGACTCTCGCCGAGCGCGGCCGGATGAAGATCGCGATCGGGTACAGCTGCGCCACCTGGAGGCGCTTGATGGCGTTGCCGCTCACGTCGAGGATGCAGTGCTTGCCGCTCTCGCAACTTCGCCTGCCGGACGCGGCACGCTCGTGCCGTACATTGTCGTTGTAACTGGCCGCGCCTGCGATGAACAGGTGGTTCTGGATGTCGCGCTCCATCTGCTCGCGCAGCGGACGCGACAAAGTGGTAGTCGCGCGCGTCCACCTCGTACTCGCGCCGCGGTCGCGGCGTCGTGTGCGGCACGCAGCCTGCGCGAAGCGCTCCGGAACTCGTGATGCAGTGTCGTCGCTTGGACCGGCGGTCCTTGAGCGCGCCGAGCGACTCGACACAGGCCGCGTGTAGGCGCGCTGGTTGCTGGCACCGACGCGCCTCAGTTGAAAAGGGGAAACAGCGGCGTCGCCCGTCCGCCGCGTCCAGGTGACTGCTCGTCGCCCATCTACTCGCTCTATCTCGTGCCTCCGAGTCGCGGCCGCTCTCTTCGAGAAGAAAGTGCTTCTCTTGTTCTCTTCTCGACGTGCCGACTGAATTCGTCGCCGCCCGGCAGCCGCGGCCAGCCCGTGCCCCGCCGCACGCCGCGCCGCTGCCGCCGCCGCCCTTTCCCGAGAACTTCACCTGCTTGACGCGTGAGCGCTCGCGCCGCTCCACGCGCTTCTTGCTCGGGATGATGCCGATGCCTTCCTCGTCGCCGTCGACGAGCACCTTGCGCGCCTGCCACCACTCGTCGTCGCTCGCGTTCGTCACGTGCAGGATGTCGCCGTAGCCGAACGGCAGGCCGCGACTCGGCAGCCCGCTGTCGCGCGCCGGGTCGTAGTCGAAGAGCGCGCGCACGTAGAGCGTCCGCTTCTGCGACGTGCGAAGGCTTCCCGTGCCGGTGCTCAGCATCTGCTCGCGCAGCGTGTGGATCTTCGCCTCGAAGCAGTTGTACTCGTCGGGTCGGTAACGCGCGACGATCGCCACCGTGTGGCCGGCGTTCTTCAGCGCCGTCGCCGCCTGCTCGTGCGTCGCCAGCGTCAGGTCGGCTCCGTTCACCGACACGATCTGGTCGCCGCGCCGCAGCTCGCCGCTCAGGTCGGCCGGTCCGCCGGCGAGGATGAACGAGATGAAGATGCCCTCGCCGTCCTCGCCGCCGACGATGTTGAAGCCGAGGCCGGACGCGCCGCGCGACAGCACGACGCGCCGCGGCTCGCGCGTCATCTCCCCGTCGTCGCTCACTGGCGTCGCGAGGTCCGACAGGTCGCCGCCGCCGCCGCCGCCGTTGCCGCAGCCGGCGACGTCGAGGTCGTCGAACGAGTCGCGGGTCGTGCGGATGATCGGCAGCGCGACGGGCTTCAGCTTGGTGAGGTGCGGCGGCGCGCACGGCGACGATGCGCCAGACGACGCCGGCGCAACCTTCTGGCGCGGCTCGGTGTCGAAGCGTACGACGTGCAGCGGCTCCTGTTTAGCGGCGGCGTAGGACTTCCCGCTGCTGCGATTCTCCTCCTGCTGAGCGAGCGGCGCATTGAAGCCGACACACGCCTTCTCTCCTCCTCCTCCTCCTCCTGCCTGCTTGTGTGGCGAATACAGCCCGTCGTACTCCGGCGGCGGCGTCGCGGCGACGATCGGTGGCGGCGGAGGCGCGCAGTCGTCGGCATCCGCACCGCTGCCGCAGCCTCCGTTGCCCTTGGCGACGATGAGGAGGACGCGGTCTGCGGTGGCCTTCAGGATGGAGACGGCTTCCTCGTGCGTGATTCCCTCGAGCGTGCGCTCACCGACACACACCAGCCGGTCGTTCACCTGCATGCGGCCGTCGAGGTGCGCCGCACCGCCCTCGATGATCTTCGTCACGAAGATGCCGTCGTCGCCGGGCACGTGCTGGTTGCCGATGCCGCCCGCGATGCTGAAGCCAAGCCCGCGGGTTCCCTTGACGAGCTCGATGACCTCGCTGTCGGCGGGTCGCTGCCGCCGCCGGATGCTGAGGTGCACGGTGGCACCAGCGCGCTTCAGGGCCTCGACGGCGGCGGCGTGCGGGACGATGCGCGTGTCGGCGTCGTTCACGCGCTCGATGATGTCGTTCACGCGCAGGCGTCCGTCGACGGCTGCCGCGCCGCCGGGGATCAGCTTGGTGATGTAGATGCTTGGGTCGTTCTCGACGTGCGGGTTGTCGGTGCCGCCGGCGATGCTGAAGCCCAGCCCCGTGCTGCCGCGCTCCAGTGACATCTCCTCCCGCTCCCAGTCGTCCTCGTCGCCGTCGTCGCCGACGATCGGATGTGGAAGCTGCTGCTCGGGCGAGTCGAGCAGGTCGATGCTCGGCGTTTTCGCGCGCCGGATGAACGGCATCGTGAACGGTGGCTCGTCGACGGGCGACGGTGGCGGCGGCGTCGACGACGCGAGCGTGTGGTTGTTTGTCGCCGCGGCGATGACGGCGGAGGTGGGGTCGTGAGCGATCGGAGGCGGCGGCGGCGGGAACGAGGCGTCGTCGAGCGACTCCTGCCGCGTCTTCTCGAGCGAGGCGATGAGCGAGCGTATCGGCTGCTCCTTCTCCCACTTCTGCGCGATCTGCAGCGTCTCAAGCGTCTTCTGCTGCAGCGTCTTCGAGTCGTCGAGTAGCGTCAGCTCGTAGAACTCCTGGATGTCGAGCAGCGCCTGGAAAAGCCGGCTCTTGAAGATGCGGATCACCTTCTCGATGGCCTGCTTCAGTGCCTTGTCGTTTGGCTTCGTCAGCTTGCCGTGATAGTCCTCGAGCAGTTCGAGTGCGCGGTGGGCGTCCTGCTTGCTAACGGGCATCTTGTACATCACGTAGCGTTTGCGATTCCCAGGCTACACGATGGCGTTCCCGCGCCTGCCGCATCACATAGCCGCGCACATGGCCGTCGCCGGTGAGCGCTGGTGGTCCTGACGATGGCGAGCGACACGCCACCTGGTGTCGCGTCTCGGGGCGAGATGAAGCGGAAAGCCGCGGATGATCGTCTCGGTTGTGAGGCGCACAGCGCTGTATCAGATGACAATCGCTCGCCGTTTGCTTGATGTGGTGTCGATCACGTAATGCGGTTGTTGTTGTTGGAAGGAACGGCGCTTCGTGCCTATCAACAAATTCTCGCCGATCCCTCAACCGTGTGACAAACACAGCAATGACGTGTCAATCTTATGGCAGATGACAAGAAATCGTGCCGGACAAATTGTGACTAACCACACGAGAGTGAGGTGATGTATAATGAATACGACAGCTGATAGTCTAGTGTCTCACGGTTACTAGTGTTTGACAGTGAAGGCCACAAACTCCAAGGTTTCAATCTCCCTTTCGTTGCTGAACACGGCACTGGTGATGCGCGAATGAGGGCTTCCTTTATATCTCAACCAATCCTTTCTGTAAGGCAAACCAAATAATATTTTAGTTGCTAGCCACAAATAAACTGCCTCTTTAATGGTATGAAATTATTACGATGATCCCAAGAGATACATGCTTTGAAAAAACAAAGTGGCTATGCGTCTGGTCACCCATTACAAAGCTGAGCACAGATTCCCAAATTACAAACATTATTTCGAATTAGAAATCGTTGATTTTACTGGATTTACTATTGTTTCAAAAGTTACAAAAACACATTTTTTTGATAAAATACCTAAAGGTAAGTAATATTATGGTAAAAACATTGTTTTTTACTAAAAATATATAGTTGGGTTCACATAAGAAATATATGACCGGACGCGTAGCCTGGGAGCTGGGCGTCCGGGCGTAGCCACGGCCTTGAAAAAAACATAAATGAATAGCATGCCGTAAACACGATATAAAGGTATTAACACGTTCACAGCTAAGCAAGAGATATCGCGTAAATAGCATATGAAATGCATCAGCATGCCATTAAATTACCTTTCATTGTAAGTAACATCAATCTAGAATTTTATTGGTGGGATGGTAGGTATACAACAGATTCTTTTGCCATCAACCACACACAAGTTCAAGTTCAAGTAAAATTTATTTTCATCGGTATATAATGAACATTGAGCTTTTGCACCGATACCACATTATATACTTGATTACATACTACATAGTCATTACTATTAGCATGTGATCAAGGGCACATCAATTGTCATAGAGAATAGAATAATTACACGAAAACTCTGTTACAGTTTAGTATTCTTCACGACCTGGCCCACCACGCTATCTCATTGTGCCACCTTACTAACTGAAAGTTTGTCACTCTAAATAACGAACGAACGAACGTGTGATGGTGTTACAAATGCGTGTTAATGACACTCATGTCGCACTGTCGCACTGTCGCACTGCCGCCGCCCTCATACATTTTTCCCCGCCATCAACTCGAACTGTGGTGAACTTTGACCTTACGATAACATTTTGATATTTACCTCCAATTTTTATTTTAATGAATAAATTTGAAAGAAGAAAGATTCATCAATAAATTGTTATCAGAGTTTGTACTAGTAAAAGACTAAATGTTTCAGTAACAAGCCATTCTTGTTGCAGCAGCAACATGAAGTTAGGTACAGTAGCGTGTAAGCAGCTAAGCGTATGGATTCCCTTTCTGTGTGCTCATCAATATATATGACTCCACATATAGCATCTCCACAATGTAAATGGGGTTTAAATGATATTCTAGTTTTACTGGACGAATAATACTAAAAATTAGTTGATAATACACAAATTGTAAATTTTCCCTGATTTCCTGCTAGCAAATGTAGAATAAATTAGCAAATGTTTTATTAACTATAATGCAAGTCGGGTGCATGCCAGTAAGGCAGGCAGGCACTCACACATACAGTGATTAAGCTGATGTATTGTCCCACTGGTCCTCATGCCTATAATACGCTTAAATATTACGAAAAACCTACGTGCATGGCATTCTGCAGCCTCGTTTACACAGGCATGCACAACCTAACTACGAATGCAATCCTTTAGGATCACAGAGACTAGCATGCAACAAGCATACACTATTTGAGAGCTGAATTAATTAGTACAGCACATTACATACAGCTTATGACAGATTCACATGCATTAATTAGTATTTAAAACTTTAATGAATCTCTCAGTGCCTTAAAATTTGAATTCGATAATGAAACATTCGCTCCTAACAACGATTGTTCGCTCTTTCCCATGTCTAGCCAAACAAACAATAATCGTGAGTAGGATCTGGATTCATCAGGCACAGATTAGCAACGAAGCATAGAAATGCAAGCAAAACTGAAGAGGCTTCTACATCACAACTCAAAACCTTCTAATCTAGTTGGGAGTTGAAGCCTAAAAAAAGACGTTTGTTTCCGCTAACCCGACCGAGTCCATTTTAAACCGCCATGTCGAAACTTTTTATTATGATCGGCAAAAAAAACAATTTTTTAAATATCGATCGGTGAATGCATTGATTTGACTTTGAAGTCATTATATAAGCTGTTATAAGTATAAAACAAGTATTGTTAGAATAAAAATAAAAAAGTTGATAAAAAAAAAGTTTTGCCTGCCTACCGTGTCCAATTTTTTCCAGCTCGTTAGCGGAAACAAACATCTTTTTTTCTTAGGCCTGAGTGAAAATGGTTATCACAGACCGTTATGGGCGTTGTAGGCTGATCAATGCTCTCTGCATAAAGTTGTGCAAAAAAATCCACAAATAAATACATGTATGTATAACACATGCAAAATTCTTTCAATATATCCATATACACTAGGTATAAAACTGTGATAGATGTGTCTATATGCTGAGACATTTCACAACAGTGCAATATTCTTTCTCATGTTTAGCAACTAAACACCATCACACACGCATCCACACACACGTACATTCGCGCGCACGCACACACGCACACACATACATGCAAAAAGTTAATGGTAACATACATATAACATAAATATCTATCTATCTGTATATTTGCAATAGAAATGAGATCACCATACTTACAATACATCAAGTTTTGCTTTAGGTCCCTGTGCTATGCCAGCCACTGTTCCTTTAGAAGTATTGCGACACCATCCAACCAGACGCAGTTCAGAGGCTTTCGTTCTTGTGTACTAGTGAGAAGCAGAAACGAGATCAGTGTTTACCGATTCAAAAACAGAACAATATCAACTAAACTAAAACAGAACACGCGCGCACGCACACACACACGCACGCACGCACGCACGCACGCACGCACGCACGCACGCACGCACACACACACAATGACATATAATAGAATCACTCAATGTCTTTTAATTATCTCAGTAAAATAGTTGACAGCACACTAGTGCTTTCTGCTTTTCTACTGCTATCATCTTTTGCAGAAGTGTAAACTGACAGAGCACGACAAACAACTAGTTTCCGAACATTTACGCCAGCTAGTTAGTGATACATACCACTACTTACAAGCAAGTCATGCCAAAACGTGCAGAAAGCGTTTTTAGAAGATATTAATTAGGTTAACATGCACGAAATTTACATTTACTTCATATGCACTAAAATCTAAATCGAAAACGGGTTAGCCACTACAATAATTTGTTCCCAAGAGCAACATGTAAATGTATTGAAACATGCTCATGTACATGGGCAGGCATGTGAATGCAACGCATGAACATGAGCCTGCACACAAACTACATGAAGATAAACAGCTAAATAGTTTAACACTATTATCAGTTGTAGCTGAAGCTTTCTTTCAATCTTTAGCCCATATAAATCTCACCTTTCTGAAGAAAACCCCTAGAACAAAAAGAAAAGGAAGAAATCACGAATATAGCACAGAAAGATGTAAAATGAAATGCATGCTACACCGATTCTAACACAGCAGCAAAACAATAATCTTGCAACACATATCCTACATAACTGGGTAGCTTTTTCCATAAACAGACATTTTAGATATACATACATGTACATAAACTATCATGCACATGCTAAAACATTCACTGCATACCACCGTTAAGGTTAACCCGTAACAGTACCAGATAAATGCAACACCACACACACAAAATTGCAATCAAGATAAATGACTTGCATTAGAACACTTTCTGGCTGCAAATATTGTGCATTTCACGTTTTTGTGATGTTTTTAATGCTAAACATATTTAAACATTTTGAGTAAGGCCAAAACAAAATATAGGTGTGGTTACCGTTTCCCGACCGACCCTATTTATTCCCAGCGACCCTAAACATTTTATTGTTAATTTTCTTTAAAGGAACAGTAGCCTCTAGGTTCTAGGGTTATTTTCAGCTAATTTAGGTTATAATTGCGCTACATAAAAAGTTTCATGGTTCAATCACCATTAGAAATATTTTTTTTTAATGTTTTAAAACTAACGACTACAGTTTGATTACAACGACGGTGGCGCCACTCAAAGCGCACGATCTGAGAAGTTGCGCAAAACCACTTTCCAGCCAAGGGCTACAGACCGAGGGTATTTCTTATTTATTCATTTAAAAGCAAAAGGATTGTAATATCTTATAAACGACATATAGTTTCAGTTATAATATGGATAAATTTGCCCTAAAATGAATATCGTTCGGTTAAATAGCATTTAGGTATAAATATAATTGCACTTTTGTGATTAGCCCTCGGTCATTTACCTGCAAAATAAAAATGCAAATACGCAACTTTTTCAGGGTGGCAGCACGGTCGCGGGTGTCATGGCGCCGTTCAAATTTCGTAGCGTTGATGTGTACATAATTAATTAAGTATCTGGTGACAAATACATGTGGGTATAGACGATTTGTTATACAGTAAGTACAGTTGTATGCAGTAAAATCCTAGAGGCTACTGTCCCTTTAAAGTAAAAAAAAATAAATTAAAAATTAAAAAAAAAAGAACAAAAAAATATGAATTGGTCAGTTCCTGCTTCAAAAGGCACAACGCACATCCTTCGGACATGGTTCGTAAATAAAATGTTTCAATAAAATAAAATGTTTTCCCTACCTACCTACCCTATTTTTTTTCGGCATGAAACGGTAACCACACATATATTTTGTTTTGGCCTAAACTAAAAACAATGCATTTGAAACATTACAGGTTATCAGTATTTTTTTATTATCTGGTGTGACGTTGCTAAAACAATATTTTGCCTGTAATCAAAGTATAGTTGCTTTTGTCATTGAGATACATAGTTCAATGTGGCTAGCAACAGAAAACCTCTGTACGTATAGATCTGTATTGCAGCAAATTACCTTGTAAGGCTAATATCATTAATCAGCCTCTAAATTCGACATGTTCAAAGTTGGAATTATGCCAGTGTTATATAAACGTATATAATTAATAATGATAAGATCACATTTTTCATAGACAATGATATTCTGATAACAAAGCAAGTGTTTTATAAATCAATATATAACCTTGTTAAACACAAGCAACTGGGCTGGTTTTGCTGTAGGTAGCATCCAGGAATGACTTAAAACAAGAGCCGCAAAGCAACTGGGCTCATCTGAGGTGTGTTGCTATGGTTATGAACGTAAAATTTCAGTCGTGCGTAGTGACACATTTGTTAGGCGCAGATATGCAGATACGCAGTTGCGTACACATCATTTCAGCACCCTTCTGCATTCTGCATACCTCCCAAATTCCATTGGTTGATACAAATCGCGTGCCTGAAACTCCTATTTTATGGTGCATTGTGACCATAACCCTAACCCTATTAAAAAAAAAATATTGTTAATTATTGTAAAAATTATTTGTTGTTATGAAATTGTTGTAAATAAATCATGTAAATATTTGCCTTAATTGGAACGAAATAGTTAAATGGCTAAAGATAGAAAAATACAGAAAACAGGTAAATAATAACAAATCTAATGGGATTCGATCGAAGGACCTTTGAGCCGTAATCCTGTGCTGTAGCCGTTGGGCTATCGAGGCATATTGGCTTTCCAGATTATGGATGTTCCATAAATATGAGAACACTGTGACATCATTGAGGCAGTTCAGGAATCCATGTTTAACCTTCCTTTTGAGGGTCAAAAGATTATCCGACACTTACTCTTCGCATGGTCCTTTCAATAAAGCCATAAAAATGGTAGGTCACCGCTGAAACAAAAAAGTTTTTCAATCGCTCCGTCAGACCATGTCCTCAGAAAATGTCTAAAATCTGCCCTGTGCCCCATTGACCTTTGACCTCCAATTTCGGCACAGTGATGGCTTTTCCTACCATGATGCTATACACCGACTATCACGAGACTAGGTCGAGCCATTTAGATTTGTGCCGCAATTCTGCATTTCCTCCCTATACCTTAAGTTAAGGAGGGAATGTTCCCCCTTCTTTTACACCTCTTGACCTTTGACCCCCAGCTTCGACATCCCAACTCGTTTTCGGATTACCCCCCCACCTCCCGAATATCGTGACCGTACGTCGAGCGGTTAAGATTTGTGCCCAACTGTTGACGGACGGCCGGACGCACGCACGCACGGACAATCATGCGATTCTACAAGCTACATCCTGACTACGTCAGATAAGCTAAAAAACAGTAAGGGCTCTTATTAGAAAATCACTAGTATATTGATTACTCATTCTCTAATGAAAAGTCACTTGCTTGACAAGTTAGCAAATCATTCCATACCACATAAATATGTCATATAAAAATGCGGTTATATCAAATACTGTTAGGGTTTGGAGGCGATTTTCGGTCGAAATTTCAATACCCACTTCATTTGATAGATCGCACCTATGGGCAGCTATGTATATGTAGAAATTATTTATATGCCTCCTAAACAGTTCCAAATCCCCGCATTAGTTAATTCTTAACACAGGCGTTCAATCATGGGAAATTTAGAACCATTTATTTACACAATTTTAGTACTCCATTGTTAGAAATGCTGAAGTTGCTGATTTTTCAAACGCTATTTCTCGAAACTCACAACTCCCATTCCAAAATTTTTTGTTACGTTTTAATGCTAACATATCAAAGGAAAAAAGGCTCCCTGGAATTTTTTTTAAATCTGATATTTTATAAGTTATGGCTCTTTGTTCACGAAATTGTTGCGTTTTGAAAATCACTACAAATTTGCGTACATCTTCAACTTATTTCCTAAATTTAATAATTAAAAAAAAATTCCAGGGACCGTTTTTAGTTCACATTATTAACAACTTATGGTTAAAAGTTTAGGTCCAAACTCTTCGCTGTTTCTGAGAAATTAAAAAAAGAGAATTTTTTGGTATAAACTCACAATTTTTTCATCGAGAGCGTAGAGAGACATCTCTCTTATGTAATGGATATGAGTTTGATTGAATTTGATGAGCAGTTATGTTGCAATGCCCTTTACAGTGTTACGCGTCCGTAACCCTAACAGTATCCTTTTAAGCATGTGATAACTTTACATAAAGCCTGCATATAAAACTGAATTTGGCACACAAAATCATATACAACATGAAAAATTCAACTAGAACTCACTTTATTCATACCACAATTGCAAACAGGATTGGTAAATCTATTAGCAATAAATTAATACTTTAAGACACGCAACAATAGGAGTAGCAATTGAACAACTATAAACTAATGCAGAATTATCAATACATTGGTAATATAATGACTATTTAATCATCTTGTATCATAGTAATGTGTATTTTCCCATTTCATTATTTTTTTATATCCTAATATGTAAGCATATACTGCTCTTAGTTATAGTCTTTCTTTCTTTTTCTGTACCAACTGTTTACTGAGACCTAAACATGTGTGGTGGGATGATTGGGTTGATTACGGAAAAACAGCTACCCCTTGTATAAAACTAACATAATTCACCCATCCATAATGCAAAGTTCAATCTAATATACTGACTCACCTACCTAATTGAGATACGTTTCTGAGTAATCACTCCAGAACATGACAGTGGGACAAGTCACTAATTTCCCTCATCCACCCTAGTTAGGATATGCTGCCTAAATAATCATTCCACACCCTTAATAGTAGAGAAGGCAATATCACACGATGAGAAATGCAAACCAACATGTCAACCTGCTACACACTGTGAATAATTACAAGCTTTCTCAGAGATTCCTGTTGATTTTTATAAAAATTACTGAAGCACTATAATTTTTCTCCCTAATCACAGCATTAAGTATTTAAATGCCTCATCGCACGCTGTCTGCATGTCGTTTTTGCTGACTCATGTTTATAAATACAGCAATTTAGTAGCTGCCAATTGCCAATTGGCATTCTGGAGAATAAAAGTTTCAATTTTGTCATCGGGAATTTCGTGTCGATAGCAACTGTCACAAGGTGATCACGCAGCCACAATAAACACTTCAGTTATTCACGATCAAGATGTATCTAGCCGGTAGGATTAGTTTTTAAAACGTTATCTTAGTACCTGTACTAGACTGTATAATACCACAAAAATAGCCACTGCGTGACAATACTCCACTATAGACTATTCAAATTATTCAAGGCTAGTGGAGAGAGAGAGGTATTGCTGCTGGTGGATGTTGAATCACGTCTAATTAAATAATGCGAAAAATTATTAACGAGCTCAAAACTAGATTCATTATTTAATGATGTGCGACAAAAAGATTAACAGAAGACATGATTAAGGAAGATTTTAGACTTTAGGGTAAATGAAAGTGTCAATGACACTGTAGCTCACCACAAATTACGTTTTTATAATATTCAGATTTAAGCACTGCCTAAAAGCGGAGCTCCCGATGTGTAACGTGTAAGATTGAGAAGATACGCTTATTCCACATAGCTGCTATATACCACGTGACAATGGTGTTTCCCTGCCCATAACA